CTACTACTACTACTACTACTTGGCCGGCCGGCCGGCCGGCCGCTATGGCCAGCCGGCCGGCCGGCCGCTATTTGGCCAGCCGGCCGGCCGGCTGGTCGCGAAATAGCAGGCCGGGTTGCCCGCGCTGTCTACTTCTTGCCAGTGTCGCAACATGTCGCCACATCGGCCATGTGAGATTGAAACATAGGCTTGTCAAGAATGGAGATTGGAAAACACGTTGGCGCAAAGAATGTGGAAAACGTGTTGACACGTGAGTGTATCTACACCCTAGGATTCAAACCACCATTGACTTAATGAGAGCCTTTACATGGCTTTCCCAAACAATCATTGTTTAACTGAGGGTTTTGCTCGTCTTTGAAGGCTAGGGTACAGACTCTACATGTATGTTTATCCTTTCTACCAAGGGGCTTTGCTGGTGCATGGAGCAACTGCTTCTGTGGATTTGTATCAAAACGAGGTGTGCCCGACTCCAATCTGCCAAAAGAGATAGACATCCCATTAGGATCTGAAAAGGCGCGCATGGTCTGCTTTAGAGACTGAGGTCCGACGCTTTCCGTTTTTGGGACCGGTTCTTCTTTTTTCGATCTTGGAGCGCTCAAAGCTCGAGTAATTCAGCAAATCTAGGGATGTCTTGAATGGATCCTTGAGCAAGCGGGCACGACGGCGGGTCGACCGGTCGACGTCGGTTGAACATGGAACGACCCATCCCCACCGTTTGTTTCGTTTCAGTGACCTTCTTATAGCACCCGTAACTAGGCGTTCCTATGGGAATTGGTCTATAGATGTCTAATAGGGTTCTTCAACCGGCATAGGTTGGGTCCACAGACCGGCTGTTTCATCGGATGCGGGGGCTCCGGCTCCAGGTCCAACTGTCCGGGTGGTAGGGGATGATGGACTCGATGGACCCCGGAAAGGGCACGGCAGCTTTTGGAGGGTCAAGGTGAGGGGGGATCTTGTTCCGAACATTCGCTGGGGTTCACCTCAAGGGTTTCTGAACTCCAGTGGTAGAACCATTCCCATCCATTCTCTATATATTATATAAGAACCAACGGCAAACATAAAATTGTTTTGGGTCATTTGGGGTCCTGAAAGATCCTGAAAGCATCGAAAATCAGTGGAGAGTTCTCCACGAAGCTCTGGGTTTTCAAGAGATCTGGCTGGCACGAGACCTGTGCCTGCCCCAAATTCTTCTCGGTCTCACATCACAAGTTTTGCATCGCAACTCTGGCGGAATCGGAAGCGACCGCGTTCAGCTGCCAAAGACTGAGTTGGGCACTGGAGTTGGTCCCTACCCAGGAGCACTGGATAACCTGCATTGGGGACACCCCACTAAACAGGAACAGATTGAACAACGTTTGACTTGACAATTTTTTCCCAGGGAAACTGAGGGTGTCAGTGTCACGTTCACGGCCATGCTGCAACCGCTGATGTGTTTGACGAAGCCGAGAAATTTGGATGTCAATTCTGTGGACGGAGGGGATCCTGTGATGCTTCGTGCCTTCAACATACTCTTCCAGTAGCCGGGGTCGAAGAATTTATCAACTCAGAACATATCGAGTTCTTGAAGTGGTAGTTGATCAAAGGGTCAACATAAGGACGACTCATAGGTTCATTCCGAGCTTGCTTCTATATGCTTCTATGTTGTTCGTGACAGTTTGTGACATGTTTTTTTCCGCCCAAGTACACTTTGCAAAAGATCTGCCAAAAGGTAGGTATGGCACCATGCAAGGAGAATCCCACGTAGGTTAAACATGGAGTTTGCGAAAGATTCGCACACGCACAGTTGGTTCCTTTTCTTTTTGCCAAGGAATAGCGAATAGTGTTTTCACAAGAAGGATATTATTTAGATCAACTTGTCTTTTTCCGAAAGCAGATCCTGGACCATCGATCAATCTGGACTCGGTGCTCGGAAGGGTCGCACGGAGTTTGGAAAGCTGAGTGACTGGCCAGCTATTATTTTTGCCTGCAAGCAGCCCGGTTGCAGACTAAGATAAGACATGTGGAAACTACATGGGCATCAGAGAGCTTTGCGTGGTAGTGCCAAAGTATATCTTTCTGAAGCGTGGATTAGAGATATTTGGCGATGCTTCATGGATTCGTAGCCCTTCATGTTGAGGCAATTGAGCCCAACACACACGCTGACATTCCAACATCCTCAAAGTCTTTCTTGGCTATTGCTGTATGGCTTTTGAATTCCTGGAGGTATATATATATATATATATGATTGGAAGACCCATTTGAAGACCCTTCGTTTACTTTAGCCGCAGCCAACAAGGCTGCGCAAAAACACCACACCCACGCTCCCATGGCGTACCACGACGCGCTGGGCTTGGGGGACTTCCGCCCCTGGACCCCCCCGGAGCTGCCGGGCTCGCCGCGCCGGGAGACGTGGAGCTCGCCGGAGCGACGCTCAGCGCTGGCCCGGTTGCTGAGAGACTGCTGCCGGGTGCTGGGTCGCGAGATGGAGGCGTCACGCTTCTATGGGCGGCTGCAGGAGAGGAAGCTGGAAGTTGGAAGGGTTCTGCCTCCTCTTTCACACGGGAGGCAGGTGGAAACATGGGCAGGTGGTTCGAAAAGCCTTTGCGCTGCACCGTGGGGAAGATGGAGAGAAAGAGAGGAAGATGGAGGAAACGGCGCTTGGCGAAGTGAACTCAGCACCTCGTGCTTGTCTGATCAGTGTGTCCTGTCATTGAATCAGATTCTCTTTTTCAGGCTCCAAATTTTGGGGTGTCCTTGGTTGACGAAGTTGCAGACACATGCGGACCCCGTTGCTTCGTGAGAACTTTCGACACCGCTTTTCACAGCTTCGATGGATCTTTGCTTGACACATCCGGTCACATCCCCTTCAGAACTGTGTGAGAATTAGCAGGCCCTTTCCCCCCACCTGCTAGGGGATGCTAGGGATGCTAGGCCCTCCCGTTTGACTCCCAGAGTCTCCCTGTTCGTCCCAGGAGGAGTGGCTGGAGACGCCTGAACAGCTGCGTCAGCTGTCCACCGACGGCTGGGCCCGGCTGGCCTTGCCGGCGCCTTGGTCGCAAAGATGAAGGAAGTGAAGGGAAAGAGGGCAGGCAAGGAATGGACAGGTCATGACAGGTCTGATCTTCTCATGGAGCTTGATGTGTCCGTTGTTTTTCAAGAGTACACTAGTCAGACTTCACAAGTATTGGTGCTTAATGGAGGTTAGGGGTGCCCATTAATCCCTGCCTCCCTCCCCCAAATAAAAGAAACTCGGGTGTTCTTAATAGGGGGTCCTTAAAGTGGGGGTACTCTCAAAGATGGAAACCGAGCTTCAAAACCCAAAAGTTGCCTAGGATGGGTAGGATGGGGTTTTATGCAACATCCTTGAACTTGAACTCGCATCAAAC